AGGAGAGCTTTCGTAGAACGTAAAAGCCACAAAGCCACAAGAAAGGTTAAAATTGAAATTCGCATGCAACATGGACGATAAATCGAACGTTGATATTCCATTGGCCGTGGACACGCGCACGCACACGTGGTGTGGCGCATCGTTGTAAATAGGATTGTTCACCTTCCAATTCTTCGTACTTGGAGGCAGAGCTGGCAGCGTACGCGGCTCCTGACGCGAAGTTTTTCAGGGAGTTGAAAAATCCGCTCATTCTCCAATTAGGAACGCCACTCTTTCTTCTTCATCCTCACTTTCACCTCACCCGCCTCCTCTCGTTGTACGCAGTGCACCCGCCTTTCAGCCGTTCTCGTGATTCATGATCCGCCGACCTTGCGTTCATTTTCTCGGGATCACGCCCGCGAACCTCCAACCATCGCGAACCTTGTCTCGCGCGAGACGCATTTTTATCACGTGTCTGAAATCCCGATGGCAACGTTTACCTCGATGCAAGAAATCGTATCTAAAAATAACATTGGCCGGCGTTACGCGAGTTTTTCGTATCTCGAGGGAAGTGCGCTCTCCTTCGAGATAACACGCGGTTGTGGTCGACAGGCTGGATACGTCATGGTTGTCGGTCGGGTTGAAAAGTTGATTCACACGGTTTAATCGCGAATAAAACCGCTATCCGCGATTTCGTATATAACGCGCGTATATATATAAATCGAACGGAAATATTATTTATTTTTATTGAATCTTCTCTCTTATTGGCCAACTCTTCGAAGAAACGATCGATTTTTGAATAATTCGTTCGGACGTGAAGAGAGAAATTTCTTTGATCACGCCTACGAACGCTTAGTCCGCGTTGTTGTTAATGAATGGAGACGTTGTTCGTGTGAATTTTCAAGAAAAGTGATTGGTCGATTGGCGTTGGAATTCTTGGATGGAATAATTTTCTTAAAATTTTACGATTTTACGAAAAGAGAGAAAATGATTCTGACGGAGAAACAATGATATATATATTTTTCAAGAGTAAGGTTTTCTTAATCACGAATCTGCATCGAGGTATATACCACCTGTTACAAAACGGTTAATGCGGATGCATCGATAGTATGTTGTAATACACGCGCTCGTTTCGACCAAGAATTTTGCGCGACACTTGGACAAATCGATTGATTATCAGTGTGTTTCAATTGAAACCGTGTGACGCACGAAGAATAACGTATACCAAATCTCTGACCTTTCGAACGAAAATCTTCGTCATCGGTAAAAAGATCAAAATCGTCGAACAAGTTAATATCTCGATAAATTTGAAAAATTTAGAAAATATAAATTCAAAGTTAAAAATCGAAACTAATAATTCGAACAAATAAACACTTTCACCGTTACGTAAGTCTCGAATAAGATAAAGACTTTAAATTCCAATATATATCAAAATACATAGAAATGAAAGAAACGAAATAAAAGTTAACTTTGACACGATTATTAAAAAAAAAAAAAGAAAGAAAAAATAGACAACGATTGCATATGGTTGCTACGCACCCCACGAACCCCTCTCACGAATACGAACGCGAGACCACGCACGCACGTTCGACGCGTAGGAATCGTAACGCGAAACTAGAGATTAACACCAGTCGAACATTTACATCGAACGTTTTTGATTTATCCAATCCTATTCAGCCTGGTTGTATACGCACACATCGATTTTCCCACTCTTTCCAATCCCCGTTATTTCATTTCCACCCCCGTGTACGAGATTCTCTCCCACCGAATAGAATCTTCCAACCGAAGAACGTATGTTTTCCAAAAACTCTACGCGATCTTTCCATTCCCCTCCATCCCTCCTACACATCCGCTCGCGTGTGTACTAAAAAAAAATCGCACGAAGAGAGAAGGAAGGAACGAATCGTTCGATAAAACGAACGTATAACCCATCGCGGTCAAGGAAGCTAGCAAAAGCACATCCCCTAGCGAGACAACCCCGGGGACGTCTTACCATTGTCATTGCGCGAATCGACGACGTGAACGTGAAGCGGACTGGTTGTCCCCAGGAAAACCGCACGTCGTGTTACCTCGCATCTGTCCTCGTGTCACCGAGCACACGCACACACGCGTTTCTCCAACACTCACCAGCAGCACACCCCTCCGACACTGACGCGTACACCCGCTCACCCTCTGCGTACGTGCGAGGATGAGCAAGAGGAGGAGAAAGAGGAGAAGAAGAAGAAGAAGAAGAATAAGAAGAAGGGACACGCGTTCTATATTGACGCGTCGAACACCACACGATATCGATACGATCGATGCCAAGCCGAGATGCTTAGTCGAGGTTCGCACGTTTCTTTCCGTGGACGAAACGGCCGTGGCTCGAGATGATGTTCGACACGGCGAAGTCGCAGTCAGACAACCCCTCGCGAATACGTCGAGTCAGCTGAACGGCCGCTACGCCGGCGGAAAGAGGGAGAGAGAGTTGCGCGCGGGCGCGCGCGCCTACACGTCCACCGTGACAATAACCACGATGGTTAGGCTGTATGGGAGGGGTAGTTGTCTCGTGGAACCCTGCAATAGGCACACTGAAGCCGTTCCACGAACCGTTCTCTCCTCCAGCCTTCCACCGATCAAGCCACTCCCGTTACGTCGCATGCGCGGACGCCCACACCGCCACCCCACCGAGACGAGAATTTGTGCGTCTGTGGGGGTGCTCGCGTGCGCCCAACGTCTTCGCGCGGCCGACACTGGAACGCGGTGACTGCTGCTCCGCAGGGGTGGCTCGAATCCGGTTATTACTCTTTTTCTTCTTCCTCCTCTTCTTCTTCTCCTTTTCTTTCGCCGTGGTTATTCTCGTTCCTGCTACCACCATCTTTACCCGCCACCGACACTTCTCGGGAGATACTTTTCTGTCGTTGGACTCGATCCTCGCCCACGAATAATTGGATCTTTGGTTCTTTTATTGTTATTATTCTTACTTCTTTCGTTCTCTATTCTCCTGTTTGAGAAATTGGGTTTTTTTCTCGAACGTTTTAAGTTTTATCCGTGGTGTTAATGGTGCGACGTCGTTTTCGCAACGAACGCTCCTATTAAGATCCTATCCTCTATCTTCGGTTTAACGAGATGTTGTTACTTTTACAACCGTGTGCACCACGCGTTGTCATCGACGCGGGGATTTTCATACGGAATATGGTACGCGAGGAGGTACCGTAAGAGATTTTATCGCGTCATCACGGTACTGTATACCGATTTTAATTCGCGTGCATACAAGTGAGCGGCGTTCCTTGGATCGATGAACTTATCGACTCGGTCGCTTTATGGGTCAGTCGGAAATGTCGTCAGAGTCAGTGGCAATACGCCGGAGAGACTAAGGCCATCAGATATATATATATACGCATACACACGTTCGTCTATCTAACTCGTTTCTCGTATCTTTGCGATCCTTCTGTCGAGTAGGTAAATAAAGTAAACGTCTCGAGAAGAAAAAGAGGAGGGAAAAAATGTGAAAAATAACGATACGTGTTTTTTTTTTCTTTTTCATAATTATATCCCTCGTACGTGTCTCGGCGTTCTTCTAACGCGCGAATTCCTGTATTCTCACCGGATTGATATGAATCATGGATGCATAATTAACGAACCAGTTATGTATTTATAAATACACATTTTTATTTGAAATTGATAATCTGACGGATAATTTACGATTCTTATTTTCTCTCCTCTTCTCTCGTGTCCGTTCGATTCGAATTTAACGAGATCCGAGTATCTGTTTCTGAAGTTTCGGAGAAATTAGATTTATAGAAAGTTACTTGGCTAGTTAATTATATTCAATTGGGCGAGTTTCGAAGTATCTAACTTTTAGATTTTTCGAAATAAAATTACGATTATTCGTGTTGTAATTGGCGCTTGAAATTTTCATAAATTACACAACCGTTATTCCCCCGATAAGAGAATATGACAAAAATGTCGATCGAATAATGATTTGAACGTCTCGTTTAAACGGACATCGCACGGATGAAGGAAAGTTCGGTCGATGATTAGTTTTTGATATTATCGTGTGGTTAGATGCCGGAAACAATTAGCGGCATTGTTGAAGCGATATGATCCACGAACGAAGTCGGATCGAAGGAAACGACGTGGATAAAAAAAAAATTCGATTCATCCATTTCCGTCAGTGTTTCGCGAAGGATCGTCTCGGAAAATTGTGATTGAAAATAAATTAAAGACCAAGTCTAGTCCAGGGTATTCGTTTGCAGATAAAATTACGTTTGTTGTTCGTGTGAACAAGGCTACGTCGCATGTCACCCCGATGTGTACGGATCGAGACACGCGATCCTCTTCGCGCGAATACGACCCAATTCGATTCGTTTTGATCCAGATGAAGTACCGCTTATTTCCATCCTATGCAGTTATTCTCTTCATATCGAATTTCAATGGATACTTGGAAGACGACATCCATACACACGTTATTTAAAAAAATATTTAACAAAATAACCGGCATTTAATTAATTTTAAAATTGTAAAAATAATTCAACACGATGGACGATCGAATTGATAGGTCGAAAGACGAGTTTAAATTTGAAAAAAGAATTTATATAAGGAAAAAAGCGATCTTATTATTCTCGTGGAGAAATAAATAGAATAAATATCATTGGTGATTGGAATTAAGGTAAGTAAATACGTTGTGGTTTATGTTATGGAAGAATTCAATTTTCCACGTCGCGCGATAATCGATGCAATCATCAACGCATAATTTGCACGGATATATTCAGCAGATACGCTCATTTCGCAAAGACCATGTTTTTGTCGCTCTTGCGAGCGCATCGAGGTAATGGCTTGGAAACAGTTACTTAATATTTTCCACGCTCGGTTGGCCCATTGAACCACTCACCGGCAAAAGGATGGAGTTTAGAAGCGGTGTTTGAAAAATTGCGCTTAGGTCGATAAGTTTCCCCGAGTTAAGGATGAAAAATTGTCGAGGGGAGGAGCGTCACCTTATCACGGGTGAAACGGGAACTTGGCCTTGATGAGGAGGAAAGGCAAAGTCGGAATAAAAACTGATGAAATCGATGAACTTGAAAGAGATTGATCCGATTATAAATATTGTTACGATTATATTAATCGTTTTAATCCTTTTCTATCATTCATTTGCCGATGCGATTGATCCCTTTTATATTCAATTATTATAACGAGTTTCTGTCGTAATTTGAAATGAAAATTCTATCGCACGCGTATCGTATATCCAAATATTTAAGTATGGAGTTGAGGAAATGGACGAGAAAGAATTATTCTAGAGATTTGGAATGGTGACTCTTTCCGCTCTTTTCGAGGATTCGAATTCGTTTCTTCGATTTTTACGAGCGCCGGAAGCTTACTTTTGTATCCCTTGGCCGATTGCCTGGACGGCGTCCACCTTTATGATCATCGAGGACGTATTAATGGTCACTTCCTTTGAAGTTAATCCTACTTCGGATTATATTCGACTGTAAAAACTTTCGAAAAAATTTTCAATTTCATGGATAGTGTTAACCATTCGTGGAATCAATAGCGCGTAATCATATTAAACGATCTATGGATTTTCTTGAACCAACATTAATATAATAATAATTATAATACGTTCTATTGTCACGAAAGTAAGAAAAATTTAATTTAAAAAAAAAAAAAAGAAAAAAAAAAACAACCGAG